TAAGTAAAACAGGAGCTTCTCTTCAGTCCAATACACTGTAATTGCTGTGTACAGACGAGAGTGCTATTTGCACTGGTTATGGCCAGAATAGCAAATGAGTGGTGTCCTTACCATGAATTAACACTTGCTGCTAGAACTTGAAACTGAATGTGATTCAACTGCGTTTAGGAAGTTTAATTCAACCATAGTTTGCCGTATAAGAAAAATACTCTACTTTAGATAAATACGCATTCTTACAGTCTACTGTTTTTTGTGTAGGGCCCGTAAAGTGAGCTAGTTCAGAAAAAAGACCTGTGTTCCTACACAAAAGGGGCATATCTAGGGCAACTCAGTATTCCAAACTAAGTAAAACAAGAACTTCTCTTCAGTCCAATACACTGTTTTTGATGGGAACCGACTTGAAAGCTATTTGAACTGGGTAAGGCCAGAATAGCTCAAGCATGATGTTCTTACCCTGAATTAACACTTGCTGCTAGAACTTGAATCTGCATGTGATTCAACTCCCTGTAGTAAGTTTAATTGAACCCTTGTTTGCCATACAAGAAAACCACTCTGCTTTTGAGAAGCGGGCATTCATGAACTCCACTGTGTTTTATAGGGCCAATACAGTGAGCTAGACAGAACAAAAGAACTGTGCTTCCTACACAAACAGGGCATATCTTGTTCAACTCAGTATTGGATACTAGTAAAACAGGAGCTTCTCTTCAGTCCAATACACTCTACTTGCGGAGAAGAGACGCAAATGCACTTTGCACTGTGTATGGCCAGAATAGCACAAGAGTTGTGTTCTTACCATGAAATAACACTTACTGCTAGAACTTGAAACTGAATGTGATTCAACTCTCCTTAGGACGTTTAATTGAACCCTAGTTTGCCATACAAGAAAATCACTCTGCTTTTGAGAAACGGGCACTCTTGTCCTCTCCTCTGATTCCAAACTGCCAGTGCAGTGAGCTAGCTCATAAAAAAACTGTGCTTCCTACACAAACGGGGTATATCTAGTTCAATTCAGTTTAGATAGTAAGTAAAACAGGAGCTTCTCTTCAGTCTCAGAGACTGTACTTGCTGGGAACAGACGCGAATGCTATTTGCGCTGGGTATGGCCGGAATAGCAAAAGATTATGTTCTTACCCTGAATTTACACTTGCTTCTAGAACTTGAAACTGAATGTGATTCAACCCCGTTTAGGAAGTTTAATTGAAAACTTGTTTGCCATACAAGAAAAATAATCTGCTTTTGAGAAAACAGGCATTCTTGCACTCTACTCTGTTTCTTATATGTCCAGTACAGTGTTCTAGCTCAAAACAAAAGAACTGTGCTGCCTACCCAAACGGGGCATATCTAGTTCAACTCAATATTGGAATCTAAGTAAAACAGGAGCTTCTCTTCAGTCCAATACACTGAACTTGCTGTGAACAGATGCGAATTTTTTGCACTGGGTGTGCCCAGAAAAGCACAAGAGTGGTGTTCTTACCCTGAATTACCACTTGCTGCTAGAACTTGAAACTGAATATGATTCAACTCCGTTTGGGAAGTTGAATTGAACCCTAGTTTGCCATACAAGAAAAACACTCTGCTTTTTAGAAACAGGCACTCTTGCACTCTACTGTGTAACCCATAGGGCCAGTCAGTGAGCAAGCTCAGAATAAAAAACCGTTCTTCCTACACAAACGGGGCATATCTAGTTCAACTCAGTATTGGAAACTAAGTGAAACAGGAGCTTGTCTTCAGTCCAATACAATGTAATTGCTGTGTACAAACACGAGTGCTATTTGCACTAGTTATGGCCAGAATAGCAAAAGATTGGTGTTCTTACCCTGAATTAACACTTGCTGCTAGAACTTGAAACTGAATGTGATGGAACTCTGTTTAGGAATTTTACTTGAACCATAGTTTGCCATTCAAGAAAAACACTCTGCCTCGAGAAACGGGCATTCTTGCTCTCTACTGTGTTTCCTATAGCGCCAGTACAGTGAGCTAGCTAAGATCAAAAGAACTGTGCATCCTACACAAACCGGGCATATCTAGTCCACCTCAGTATTGAAAACTAGTAAAACAGGAGCTTCTCTTTAGTCCTATACACTGTAATTTCTGGAAACAGACAAGAAAGCTATTTGCACTGGGTATGCCTAGAATAACCCAAGAGGGGTGTTCTTACCCAGAATTAACACTTGCTTGTAGAACTTGAAACTGGATGTGATTATACTCTGTTTAGGAAATTTAATTGAACCCTAGTTTGCCATACCAAAAAAAAAAACACTCTGCTTTTGAGAAACGGGCATTCTTGCACTCTACTGTTTTCCTATATGGCCAGTAGAGTAAGCTAGATCAGAAAAAAAAGAGCTGTGCCTCCTACTCAAACGGGGCATATCTAGTGCAACTCATTATTGGAAACTAAGAAAAATAGGAGCTTCTCTTCATTCCAATACACAGTAATTGTTGGGTAGAGACGGGAATGCTATTTGCACTGTTTTTGGCCAGAATAGCAAAAGAGTGGTTTTCTTACCCTGAATTAACACTTGCTGCTATAACATGAAAGTGAATGTGATTCAACTTCGTTTAGGAAG